CAAGGCCCAACCACAACCTCACCTTCACCAAGAAAGAGCCCCTGGGGTGAGTGACACCAGCATGCTCTGCCACGGACACGTCCAGCAATTCTACCTCAATAGAAAGTACTGCCATTGCTGGATATTCTTGGGACAAGTTTTTATAATGCAATCCTCATTGCATCCATCCATTTGTCACAGCATTTGTTCTGGTCAAAGTCTGAACAGTTAGTTACATTGACTTAACGCCCATGCCAGCCAACAGGACTATAGTCATGGCGAGCAAATGGACAGTAAAACAAAACAAATAAGGTTTAAACTTAATAAATAATTATAAAAGGGGGGCAGAGTGTGGCTCACTGGGCTAAGTCTGTAATCAGAAGGTTGCTGGTTCAAACCCAGCCTCAGCACGTCTGCGGGTCCTTGAGCGAGGCCTCTAACCCCCAGCTCCCTGGGCGCCCCAACAGGTGGCTGCCGGTTTTTAATAATAAGTGAAATATAAATAGTGAACAAGGTGAAACCGTATAGCGTAGAAATGCATAACTAAGCAGAGCAAGCAGGACTTGCATAGGAGTCAGAGTGGACGGGGACTGACTCCCCTCCCCTCTTTCTGCTGCCGCAGTGTCTGCGCCATCGTCATCCCCTGGAACTACCCGCTGATGATGCTGGCGTGGAAGAGCGCCGCCTGTCTGGCAGCCGGCAACACGCTGGTTCTGAAACCGGCTCAGGTGAGCAGAGAAGCCCAGTACCCATCAGGTCCAAAGCTAGTCCGCTCTGCTGTTCCATTTTCTGCTCAATAGCCACAAATCACTGCTGGAAATCACACCAGCACAGGACCGCCCCGTTTAATAACGTTTGATTAATTGGATCAGTTAATAAATATTGGATATTACATTTAAATTGAATTGAATTTAAAATTAAATCAACTTAAGCTTAATTTAACATTACTACTGATAGTACCATATAAAAATTACGATGGCATTTTACAATAAGGTTCCCGTTTGCTTATAAATATATAAATTCATTAATAAAAAGTGTTATAACTTGTTTATAATTGTCTGTTACTGACTGTTACAACCTAATTAATATCCTATAAACCATTAATAAACCCTTTATATAAGCAGAGTGTTATTGTAAAGTGGAACAAAAATTTTTTTGTAAAAGTAAATTTGTGGACCCTTTTTCTGCATTACTTTGTGTTACCCTCCGTACGCCTTTAAAGAAGGTTGCTATGGTTACGGTCACCATGGTTATGATTACCTTGCAGGTGACCCCATTGACGGCGCTGAAGTTTGCCGAGCTGACCGTCAAGGCCGGCATCCCCAAGGGGGTGGTCAACATTGTGCCGGGTTCTGGTAAGCGACCGGGGTGGGGAAAGAGGCTGTTGGACCTGCGGAGCAGGCGTGTCCTTCATGAGGCACACGGGTTAACCTGGCGACTGCCGGTTCTCTCCCGCCCCAGGGGGCCTGGTCGGACAGCGAATGTCCGATCACCCTGACATCCGTAAGCTCGGATTCACTGGCTCCACCCCCATCGGCAAGCAGATCATGAAGAGGTGAGAGTCGCCCCCCCCGCATGTCGGATCGGTTCATCATATTCATTGAGCTTTGCTGAAAGGCCTTGTGTTGCAACTAAAGAAGATCCTTTCATAGTGTTTGTGGTGCCATGCTGAATTGACCAAGAACACCTTTGATTCTGACTTCTTGCTTCAGCTGTGCACTTAGTAACCTGAAGAAGGTCTCGCTGGAGCTCGGTGGGAAGTCGCCCCTCATCATCTTCAGCGACTGCGACGTGGACAAGGCCGTGCGCATGGTGAGAAAGCTCAACCCCCACAGGGAAAGGCCTCATCTTCAAACGTCAACCCAAATTAGTTTCCCCACTGGCTGTATTCAGCCCACACCTGGGTTCTGGTCACCAGCTTGGTAAATTTCAGCTTGTGGAAACCCTTACTCTTTCTGGTAAAGTTGAGTTATTCTTGAGGTTTGTTCTTTTCTCCGTCTTTCTGTAGGGCATGAGTTCTGTCTTCTTTAACAAAGGAGAGAACTGCATTGCAGCCGGACGACTGTTTGTGGAGGAATCTATACATGACGAGTACATCACAAGAGTGGTTAGTGGAACTCTTCATGTTCCATTTCAGCTGAGGGCTGGTATTTGCAGACACGTGTCCCATCAGTGTACCTACCATGAGACCGAAGCCTTTCAAAGTCCCATTTCAGAGGAAGGGTTCTGAAGAGCTGATCCTGGTGCACGGCACTGCGTGACAGACGTCTTCTTAATCCTACACTCATTCTCCAGGTGGAGGAGATCAAGAAGATGAAAATAGGTGACCCCCTGGACCGGTCTACGGACCATGGACCCCAGAACCACAAGGCTCACTTGGAGAAGCTTCTGGAATACTGTGAGGTGGGAAAGAAGGAGGGAGCGACACTGGTGTACGGAGGGTGTCAGGTAGTCAGACCAGGTACAACTATCTACATGCTGAGGACCAGGTCCGGTCGTGGAGCCTTTAAATTTAATCTTCATCATCAGTTAAATGCATTGTGTTCAGGGTTCTTCATGACACCCACGGTATTCACTGACGTGGAGGACCACATGTTCATCGCCAAGGAGGAGTCATTTGGGCCCGTCATGGTCGTATCCAAGTTTAAAGATAGGTAGGTCCCTCGGGGGAGCATGTCCAGGCTGTCCGTGGATCGAAGCACACACCCCATGACATGCGGTCTTTCTCCTGATGCGGCAGAGATATAGACGGCGTGCTCAGCCGGGCTAACGATACAGAATTCGGCCTGGCATCCGGCGTCTTCACGCGGGACATCAACAAGGCCATGTACGTCAGTGAGCGGCTAGAGGCCGGCACGGTCTTCATCAACACCTACAACAAGACGGACGTGGCCTCTCCATTCGGGGGCTTCAAGCAGTCCGGGTTTGGCAAGGACTTGGGTAAGCCATCCTACCCCAGCAAGCTTGGTGAGAAAGCAGGGAAAAACTACACAAATGCGTGTTCAACACAAGTAATTCTGAATCAAAAATGGTTTTAAAGGCCAGGTACAAACTTAACTTCACTTATTCATAGTTACTTAGTGACTACTTATTTACTTACTCTCTGTTTATTTATCTACTTGTATATTTACTTACTCACTCACTCTTGTCCCTCTTCTAGGAGAGGACGCCCTTCATGAATACCTTAGGACCAAAGCAGTGACAGTGGAGTACTGAGAGAGACTCCGTTGAGACACTGCAATCTGTCACTTCGTTTTTGAGCCATCAGTCTCTACCAGGCATTCAGCTGCAGTGATCTGCCCACCATTTCTGGGGTCCTTGGGGTAGGTGGGTGGAGACTGGTGAAGAGACTGGTGAAGAGACTGGTGATCTCTCATCATTCACTGCCGCAAGTATTGTGCCTAAAGTTTTTAAATCTTCCGTTGAAACCATTTTAAAGAGGTTTTAGTTGCCTTCCACAGAAGCAGCACCCCCCCTCCCCCGCCCCCACCCGACAGCTAATGAAGCAGTCCAGTGTTATGGGGGGGCTTTGGTTTTTACAGTTAGCTGTGTTCAATATATTTAAAGGGAAAATAAACACCAGCTACCAGATCTATGGGGCGGTTTCAGTATCGTCACAGAAAACACCAACAACATGAATGAAAACCATTAATACTCACTTACCATGCAAGTATATATATAATAATTTATAATTATAAACAAATGCAGAATTCTTTCACACATTTCCAGTGTAGCGTTAGGTAGCTTATAACCATGAGTATTTGTATTGTCAACTCAGAGCCACTCCCAGACTGCTAAGGCGTGTCGTGTCACAGCAAAGATAAGCTCAGCTTGAAGGACTAGCAAGCAGGACTGAAAAGCATTGGAAAAATTCACATTGCAATACTTGAATTTTTCGTGATTACAATATTCATTAAATGAAAATGGTCTTGAAAGTTTACTCAGAATAAACTAGCCAGAATGAAACACTGACCAGTAAAGTCTGTCAAATAAGCTGGTCGTGCTGCCACAAAGCAGTGCAGACAAATCATTTGCTTTTACTCAATTTTGTCTCTATGGAATCCAAAATATTTTCATGCAGTGGGAGAAGAATGTCTTTTGGTGACCAGTTCTTGTTTGCTTTTCTCCACCTCACTCATTTTTGTTAAAATTTCTCACAAACACCCCTCATTGCCTATGAATCACTCCAACAGCAAATACAAGAATCGTCTCAGAGACTGCGTGCGGCATTCATGGACAGCAGCAATAGGAAACCTTAGGCCGAGCTTCTTAAATATGTACTAGGTGATCTGAAAAAGGAACCATCATTAAAATTAAAAACCTTGCCAAGTTCTGTTCATATGGCAGAGCAAAAATGCATTAGCGTATCTTATTGTCTTAACCCAGCTGACTGTCGCAGTCCTTACGCCGTGACAACTGCATGTGCGTAACACGCAGCGTTGATGTGAACGTCGCACATCATGTTGGCCTATCAGCAAGCAGGACGTACTCAAGCAGTGGACTGTTCCATTAAATGTACAAGGGCTATTGGGGACGGATGGAGTCTTTCCGTTATCATGTGTATGCGAGTCTCAGCAGAACACCTGCCGCTTTGCCGCAGACCATCACAGTGGTGTGAATTTAATACACACAATATGCATCAATATGCATACACGCATATATACAGCACACACACACCACACTGTGGTGACTGCGGTAACCACGGCAACCACTAGACCATTACCTCAGCCATTAACAATAAGCTAGCACATATCACACTCCAAAGGTGAGACCTATTGAGATGCAGGACTTAATTCCTCTCACGTATTGAGTTGGAATTAACGGTTATTTTCAAGGCTGCTTACAAATGTTACACGGGGGTAATGCACACCTACTTTTTCCAACAATAAAATTTTGCCAGTGGAAATGTGTGATGAATTTGGTCTGTGCATGTTGTCCTGATGTACAAGCATTAAGATTTTTTTAAAAATGCATTGTATGGTGTAAATATACCTAAAAATATACATAAAATATACATGTCATAATATTTAAAGAAATTTATTTTTTCTAAATAAACAGCTGTTCCAATAAACCTCAAATATATCAAAAAATTTATATACACGATTAAAGAAAAAAAAGATCAGGCAAACTAGAAAAATATGGAATAAACTACATTATTTTTGAACTGCATATCAAAACAGAACGTCAAACTGTCCATCCATAACGTTGGTCAGTGTCTTTACAATTTATACATTTATCGACTGAGTATTTTACTCAGTGGGGAGAAATGCTGCTTAGCTCACTGCTAAATACAGTAACACAGTTTCCTTCCTGTTAAGCAACCTGCTACAAGTACAGCTTCTTAACAACCATGCAACTTTCAGTCTAATGATGTGAAGTTCAGTCTGGCCAAATATCTGTGCTTTAGATCATCTGTGTGGTGCTTCCCATCTGGACTTGCCCATAACAACCTCAAACGTCAAAGTCTTCAGTCAGATTTAGTCATGCATGTTCTCCCACACTGACCAGCGAGCATCCTTACAGATCCTCCAACAGCATGACAAGAGAGGATTCCCTAAATGGTGTCCTCACCCAGAACTTTGATATTAGCCTTTTCTTTGATGTTCCTATTATTCCCAGGCAGTTTAAGATTGTCCTCCGTGATCTCGCCCTCAAATTCCGAGTCCGAGTCAGAGCTGTCGTCATCCGATGTCTCATTCTCTGTGTTGCTGTCCGAGTCACCCAGATCCACCAGGGCTACGTCCTGTCAAATGACGAAGACTTTTTCAAAACTCACCAGTGCTACACATCATACATTTGCCCCAAGTCACACACACGCACAGACCAGCATTTGGAAAAACAACCATACCATTTCGATTACTTTCCCAGCATCCTCCACATTTTCAATGTCAAAGTGGCCAGTGGGGCAGGACTCCATCTCCTGCTTTAGCTTCTCATTAGCTTGGGCGATTTGTGGCAGGAAGAGCTGAAGTCTGTCTAGTACTACATCAAACACAGAACATTCGGATCTTTAACATTACTTATGTCTCCCATCAGAGTAGCTGAAACTAGAATGTTTTTGTAAAATCCCCCTTTTCACTGCATCGTTAAAAGAATTGCTTGCAATATTAAAGTAATAACCTGTATAGTGAGAACATTGCGGCATAATAAAAATTATGCGTCGTTAGCTTACCGCTACTTCTCGGAACAGCAGTCGTTTGCAAAGTGTTGCTGCTGCTTCTGGTGGTTTTGGACTTCACAAGCAGCTTATCACGAAGTCCTAGAAAAAACATTACCGTACATTACCCTAGGGCTGTCAAATCCATACAGTCCAACTCAATATACATTTCAAACAACGCATGATTTACACTCCAGACTCAATGCGAGATGACACTGTCCAAACAATTTCTTCAACCGTGCCTTTAAGGTCCAACTTTTGCTGAAAAATCAGTACGTCTATAAAAGACTAGAAACACCAGCACTGCATGCTACATGAAAGTATAAACCGCCAAAAACTAAACGTTTCAAGTTTAACTATCAATCAGGTCATCACTTTACCAAGCGGTATCTAACCGATACCTCTAAATATTGATTGACAAGAAAGTTAAAGTTCCTTGCAATTAAAACAAACAGCATACAAAACTGTTTTAAAAAAATACAACCTTAATCTTCCTATCATAAGACGTATCCTTCCTTCTACACCAGTACACCGTTATCTGGTAATCACCAACGCTGAGCACTACACGTCTAAAAGTTTCAAATAAACAGAAAATGTAACACGATTTATAAACTTTACTACATACCCCCTTCGTCACCACAGGAAAGCAATTCCTTTGAGACTAAGGTCCCCTTTTTCTGATGTTGCTCCATGCTTTTTACCGCATGGACAAGTTGCTAGGTTTCACCTAAAAGAAGAAAAAGCAGTACCGAAAATGGGTCGCGGCATAGTCTGGCGCCCTCTACCGCACGGAGGACGGAACAATACCCTTTGATAATTGCAGGATACTAGGTTTCATTCCAGTAATAATATGCATAATATATATGAGAATTATTCACCATTACTGCATTATTCACAACAAGACCGATTAAATTTGTTCAATAACATTATGATGGATTACAATAAGAAACAATTTTATAGTAATTTACCTAACAAAATGCTTATGTAGCCTAGACGTGTAATGAACCATAAGCGTGGGCGGTTGTCTTAGTTACGTATATGAAGGCACATTCCGAATGATCATTCCGAAACATAAATGTTTGTTATCTACAGGTTTACTCTACTATACCATAATTTGTGTTGCTATTATTGTATTGCAGACTCTGTAGGCCTGTTACAACTCAAGATCCTTTGTCACGACGATTTTAGCTGTGTTATACAGAGAAACCAGAACAAGTATAATTTGAAGGGTTGTTCGTGCTCATGCGTACTGTAGGCGGGACTGACGCGTATAAATTAGCAGGAAGATCGTTTGACCGGAGTGACAGACTGTCAACGAGGAGGCATCTGTCAGACACCACCAGCACGGTAACAACAAGGATAATAATAGTAATATTATTATCAATGATGATGATGATGATGATGATAATGACGAGAAAAAGTATTATTTTATTACTAAACAACAATTGTAGGCTATAACAAAACACTGACATAAGTTGTTTGTCGACTCTTTTGTCGTGTAGGGACTTTAAATCTTGCGGTCAACATTATTTCGTATAGATTTTTAAATACGTTTAACTCTAGTACGTAATCCATAATATTTTCTTAATTTGTTGCTTGTGTAAAATGCAGAATAAGCAAATCAGTTTTAGGATCTTGCCCTGGAATTGCTGCCTGATTTTGCTTGAGCTTGTCGGTCTAACTTGATCTTAACTAGACTTTCTGTCCCTTCTGGAGATTACATGAATTCTGTAAGCGAGGAGTTTTGTTTTCCAGTATACAGAAGTCTATTGACGGTTTATATTACGGCTACTGATATTAAAGATTTGATCATGGTTTAGGTACCTACATTCTTACTTTTTGGCACAGTTTGTAGGACCACGTAAAATGATCTGAAAAATGTCAAATATATGTACAGATTTTTTCTATATGTGGTAGGAGGACTGATCATTTAATGAATTCAATTTGATTTAATTGTATACGTTTATTATGCCATTAAACAGACTGGCACTGATTTGCCGAGGAAAAAAATACAGCTAACAGTTTCTCCAGCGTGTACTACCCCCTAGTGGCCAGTTCATAAAGTGGCTCGTTATGTGTTTCCAACAAACGTCCTGCTTTGAAGTTATGCATCGGTAAGGTGCATAAACTATTTCTGTCTTGTTGGGGCAGTTTTCTGTAGGCGATTATAAAAGCCCTACTATTGAATCTGTACGATGTGAACTTGAAAGATTTTCTCGCACTCTAGACTGTGCTGTTCAAAGGGCAGGTTTAATACGGTTGGCATTCTTCAGATATCCCTGGGCTGTCGTTATGAGCTTCCTTTCCTTCCTGTCATCAAAGCCCTTCCCAGAATATAAAGTGCTTTATAAGAAAGGCAGGCATCATCAGTGAGGAGAAGAGGAAAATGTGTGAGGTGTATTTCTGCTCACTTCTGTCTGTTGTTTTTTTTTTTTGCAGTTTTATCAGTCATGCTGTCTCTGGCACCCTGCATTTTTTTCCAAGTCTGTCCCTCCCTTTCAGGTCTGTGTCTGTTAGAAATAGCAGGATATTAATCAACGAGTCCACACCAAGGCCGATTCCAAATGTCCTGCTGAACCAGCTTCATCAGAGAGCCGCTGCAGTCAAAGCGATGGCCGTCTACTCCTCACAGAGTCAAGCCTCAAACTCAGCGAGGGTCAGAGCAACTTGCCTTTAAATCCCAGATCTGGCCATTTAGCACCATCGCTGTACATCATGGTACCTGTGGACTATGGCAAACTGCTGGAGGAAGGCGAAAGTGGCACCTCGGCCGACAGCTACCGAAATGGCATCTTCGCGGGCAGCGGGGGTCTCTCGGACGACGATGAAGCATGTCCCTTAGAGTCGGAGCTCCTTCTGCCCGCGGCTGCCCTCTTTGTGGAGGAAGGGCATCAGGCCAGGGGGGCAGAGCCGCCCAAAGCTGCCCTGAAGATGCCCAGAGAGTCCGCCTTGGCCATGGCACTGCAGATCCTATTGCCCTTCCTGCTGGCAGGCTTTGGCACAGTGTCTGCCGGCATGGTACTCGACGTGGTGCAGGTACGACTGACCTGATCATGACTCTTGACCAGGACGACTCATCGCTCGATTGCTCCAGTGGCCATGCTTTCACAAAGAAGTACGTCACGTTCATTCATATAGCGGTCTGTCTCATTTCATTAGCATTGGGAGGCCTTTCAGAATGTCACTGAGATCTTCATCCTGGTGCCGGCCCTTCTAGGCCTCAAGGGGAACCTGGAGATGACTCTGGCATCCAGACTATCAACGGCGGTGAGCAGTTCCGGTCTAACATACATTATGGGCAAGGAGGCCCATAACGGTGTAAATGTACAGGTATTGCTGCCAATAAGAAGGGCTGACAAATGGCAAAGCAGATCAGTGTCAAAGCAGATCACTGCCAACACTGCATGGGCAATGCTAGCACACTGCATGGGCAATGCTAGCACACTGCATTTCCAATGCTAGCACACTGCATGGCTAAACATATCAATGGTAAAACACTAATGTAAACATATAGGCAACATTACTAACAGAAAGGGTTAACAGATGTCTAAGCAGATCAGTGCTAATTGTATGGGTAATACTGGCACACTGTATATTTAAACAGATGTGCATTAACAGTCAGGATAAGTGTAGAGTCTGTGCCATCAAACATGCAGTCTTTGAGTAGGTGGATTCATACAAGTGTGCATCATGGCAAAGGTAGTGTTATTGCGGTTGAGGGTGATCATTTTCACCGTGCTCACCACATACTAACAACAGTGACACACCTTATGTCCTTATGACTGCTGGCGTGGTTTCCCAGTACTTCAGGAAATGATTTTTTCCTGAAGAATAAAAGTGGTGGTTCTGGACATGCCCTGCTGACAGAATAAGACACCAAAGGGTGTTGACTTGATATCTCATGGCAGTTTCACATGCATTCTCTTGACATATGAGTCCTTTTTTATTACAGGCAGTATGGGGCTGTGCACTCAGGTTAATGTGCAGCTCAGTAGTGGAGACGTTCTCAATGTTTTTCTCAGCCCAGTCCAAGAGCTTACGTCAGTGATGTAATGAAAGGGATCGCTTAGGGAGTCGCTCCGCAGAAGCTCGTTTTAATCACTAGCTGTCAGCAGTGGAGAACTCATTCCAGACAGGTCGTCATTGGTCTCCACCTTCTACAGTGTCATGCTGGCATCTCCCAGCGTTGCTCAACACGAGCATGAGCGCCAAGTGAAACGACCGGTTCCTGAAGGCCGTAAGAATGTGGTGTCCGAAAAGGGGAAGTGTCACTGTAAATTCCAGCCAGAACAAAGGAACGAAACTCCAGGAAGAAACCAGGGGGAAAGTTTGTGTTTATTGTAAACTTCACCAGGCAAACTGTTTTAGATCAAACATAAGTCAGGAGGTCAAAACAAAGCAGAGATGAAAGTTACTGGTCTTGATTAGCCACATGTGATTCTTTGTCTTTCAGTTTACCCTTGAAATACAATGATGTCACTTCCTGTTGTCTAGATTCCTGAACCATTTACGCTTCATGCTGTTGCACCATACGCAAGCAGCATTTGAGCATTTGAGAAGCTCTCGTTCTTGCGGCGGTTGTGAAAGCCTGCTGTTTGTGGCCTTGTCCCAGGTGAACGTAGGGAAGATGGACTCTCCCACTGAGAAGTGGAACTTAATAGTTGGCAACCTGGCACTGAAGCAGGTAAATTCCCCTTACGTGACGTCTCACCTGCGCTTCCAGCCGTCTTCCTCACTGTTGGCCCGTATATATAGAAAACACCTTTCATATAATGTCATTCATACCCGGCATGATTGTGGTCACTGTGTGATCACCGTGACTGTGGGAAGACAAGAGCATTACATGGTATTATTAACACAAACATGTTATATGGCAGCTTTACCCCACTTCTGTACATTGCGATCCATCCTAGACTCAACCAGCAATGTTTTTGTTGAATGGCCTGTCACCTTTGCTTTATCTTAATCCGTAACCAGTTAACTAGCAGCCTGCAACACCATCATTTGGTGTTGTTCTGAGGGCAGTAAGCACTGACATACTCACCTAATTATATCCTCTGACTTAAATTACTAACAGTATTCCTCAGATGTCTGTATTACAAAGCATCTCTGTACTTTTTTTTTTTCCCAGGGAGACATCTATTATGGTTTTATGTTATTTGGAAATTGCCAGTTACTTAATATATATTCTTACATTGGTATAGAAAACAGAAAAAAAATGAGACAGGTTGAGGTTTACGGAGGCTTGGAGGACGAAAATGGTTAGAAATTAAAAATAGCGGAGTAGACTTTGTATATAATACTGGCTTGTGAAGTTACCGTGTTAAATGCATTATAGGGGCACATGAATGAGAGGTGACCCGCAAGCATTCCCCGCTGAGCCCCAGGACAGCCCTGCTGTCTCCAGAGGCCGCCGTAGCTTTACATAACACCAGACAGTCATTCACTGCATCATTCACTGCAGCATACAGTTAAAAAACTATCCCACCTGCGCCAAGTTCTTTTAGATAACCGAGGTTGTTGGGGAGATTTCAGGTAAGTCGTCAGTGCTCTGTCTGCAGTAGCTGTGGTAAAGTTTATGAATGACATAGATGTTTGTAATGCCTGTGTGGGTGGAACCGTGGTATTTTGGTATGACTCCTGGCTCTCTGGGCTGTAGGTTTTGCAATGTTCTGTTAATGATGGACAAACGGGTATAACAGGTGACGCTAATGCTGTAACAGGAATGCTTAGCATGCAGAGAGGTGATTGGTTCAGTTAATGGCTGGGATGCTGGCCATCCCTCTGTGACAAATTAATTTTGTCCAGGATGCCAAATGCATCCTCAGGACACTGGGTCTTCAGGGATGCAGTGGAGGACTTTCTGACTTTCTTGGGAACCTTCAGAGTCAATGAATTAAAGCGAAAGGCTCTAACACAGGAGCAAGAGAAATAACGACATAATCTGTCTGTTGTCGCCGGGCGGGGTAGCGAGCGTCACCCTCGGCTTTGTGTCCCCAGGTGCAGGCTACGGTGGTGGGCTTCCTGGCCGCCATGGCAGCCACGGCCCTGGGTTCGATTCCCGAGGGCAAGTTTCAGATGGGACACGCCTTGCTGCTCTGTTCCAGCAGTGTGGCGACCGCCTTCATCTCATCGCTGTTGCAAGGTACTGTGAGGCCCCGCCCACGTCATTGGACTCCACCCACCATTCCATCCTTGAGGGTCATGCCCTCACTCTTCTAGTACTGCTTGTTCGTTTTAATATAATTTAAATAATTAAGCATTATTAATTCATATGCTAATTTCACCTCTAACTATATCCGCTAGACCCAGCTACAGGTCTTCATACAACAGAATTGCATTTTAACTTTCGTCTTGCCACTGAGGCTGCTTGGCTTTTGTCTGACCTTTGACCTCTCCTTCTCCCAACTGTGCGCCGTTGACCTTTTCTCTAGGCGGCATCATGGTGGGCGTCATCGTCGGCTCGAAGAAAAAGGGCATCAACCCCGACAACGTGGCCACGCCCATCGCCGCCAGTTTCGGTGACCTCATCACTCTGACTATCCTGGCATGGGTCAGCCAGGGCCTGTACAGCTGCCTGGGTGAGAGCGACAAGCCAGCAGAGATGCCAGTCATTTTAAAGCTGCACACTTGTCTAATTTGCATATAGAACATAAGGGCCGCGGGAGCCATAAATGCTTATATTTTAATTGTAGATGAATTGATAGGAAAGAAGCCCTCTCAGTTTAAACACATTTTCTTCTAAGGAAATATGACGGTAGCTCAGTGGCTGCACTGCCCCTTTACAAGGCTAGGGTTGAGGGTCTGGATCCTGTCTCCCCTCTGGCTGTGTGGAGGTTGCATGCTCTCTTTGTCTTACACCGGTTTTGTATGGGTACTCTGGTTTCCATTCATAGTCCCACGATATGCAGTCAGGCTAATTGGTGTTTCTGAATGAACAACAGAGTGTCTGTGTCCTGTTTGGGCTGGACCATACTGCTAATATGGATGCTTGACACTTTGGTAAGACAGGGTGGCATTATGTTGTTTGAGTGATAGCCACAAGGTGGAGCACTAGTCTACCTTTGGGAGCATTATGGCCTAGAAATGAACCGATCGATGTTCTGTGTAGGTTAAATATTTCTCTGGACTTGCTAATTGGATTTATTTTTTTTTTGTTTCGTTTTGATATTGTAGCACAGGGGTCCTTCAGCAAATTTATCCTGTTGCAAAAACAGCAGGTACATCTGCAGAATCACACTAAGCAGGAGACAATGCCAAAGTAAACTTTCTATTAATGGCCACTAGGGGGCAATTTGTTTCCAACTTTCCATTCTGATGCAACTGTAACTGGTAAACCTGATTCATAGGTAGGTTTTAGCATGAGTAAGTCTGGTCTGTTTTGTGCTTTTTCAACACCAGACTAGACTGGCAGCCTTTTAGTTTTGGAACAATTCTTTTATACCCAATTCCTGTATGTTTTAAGAATCTGCTTTGAGGTGTTGGTAGCTCTTCCAGAACACCCCCAAGTAAACTTTTTAAAAGACTGAATTTGGTTTCTCCATACAATGAATACCCCCTAGCTCACATGGCAGGAATGTCTTCAAAGCTCTGTAGAGTCATCCCTTGGAAAATGCCAGCACTTGTCACACGGCAGGCAGGTGACGGCCAAAACATGGGTGGGATTGGCTCTGCATCTGGGAGCAGTCCCGCCACGGCCAGGAAGCGTAAAGCGGCCTTAGCCGGCAATCCCCCGAACCGCCGGCAGACAAAGGCGGGCTTATAGCCGCGAGAGCCGCACTCCGCGAGTCCCTCTGGGCGACCAAACTCCTCCAAGATGTAACAGCATCTATTCATGGCCTGATCCAATCACGCCCCCCAGATCACACACCGGAATGCCCATGAGGGTTTCTTAAAAATACGGTTAATATCTGAAAGTCTGCGAAAAAACTGCATTAACACTTCAAAGTGGCGATTCCAGCAGCTTCTCCCTCCTTCGAGGGCCGGCGGGGTGCCTTTTTGTCCAAAGCAGCCCTAAATATAGAGGCGTTTTCCGTCTTTTTCTGGACGGTTGAGATTAGGAGCAGTTAAGTTTGTGGAACTGTGAGCCAGTCATGAATGTCTGAAGAAACCTCAGCTCTTCTTTTCTTTTTTATATGAACATTGCCTAAAAAAACTCTGGAGTCTCTATAAATACTATAATTTGCGTTGGGTGGAGTTTGCCAGAACTGGTATGTTTCCCAACAAAAAAATCACCCTGACTTCAGAGTGCTAGGAAAAGGGCTGCATTTTCCAAACATAGGTACTGTGAAACAGCTGGGGGATGTTTTAGGGTTAGGTTTAGGGTTAGGGTTAGTCAAGGCCCTGGCAGGTAAATCTTTGCCCTCGATCTGCACTGTTGGGGTGATGCAAACACCTATTTTTCCACCACATCTCTATATGGCAGAAAATTGATAAATTGTGAGCAGGGCCAAAGGCGCTTGGTGTTGATTCGCACTGCCTAACCCTCCTTTATGTCTGATATGAATTGATTTACTTTGCTCTTTCCCAGATTTTTTCCCTTCTGCCTTTGCTGGCTCCCTCCCTGCCCCCTCCCTATGAATCCTGGGAAGCGAAATCACCTTCTATTTAGCTCTTAATTCTGCACACTGTCCCCATGTCACACAGATCTGTTCTCTGCCCTGATTGGAGCATGTCCCTGCCCCTGTGTGCATGTACGCATATTTGGATGTGAATTAACTCGCATTTGTGTGACCATGGGAGTGTCTCAGCCCGGCCATGCACTGTTTGCACACATTCAGCCCTGCCATTTGTCAAGTGACTAATGATTGAGGCCGTTGGACTGTCTGTAAGATTCCGGAATGCCATTTATCTTTCGGGTGGATTCTCAGAACGACGAGCGACCTGTTTGTTTACATGAGGCGGCCATTTTACACTTCTGGTGGCGTTTGTAACTTTTCTCATTTCATTCCTTTCAGGAAAGACTGGCACGCTTCGACCTTATAGCCTTCTTAGAACAGTAAAGCGTGTACATTCAGCGATTTCTCTAGACTTTAAATCTTTCATCCTCACCCGTGATGCTTATTAATTAAACTCCCACATTGGTGTGAAGGAATTAATTGTGTCCTTTCCCCCCGAGTTTGACCCCCGTGGCTCTGACCGTCCTCCTGCTCTCCCCAGATTCGCAGCCGTACGTGTCCAGCCTCGTCTGCGCCTCCTTCCTCTCCCTGACTCCAGTCTGCATCCTGGTCTCCTGCTGGCACCCTGCCAGTCACTCACTGCTCTTCTCGGGCTGGGAACCAGTCATCTCCTCCATGGTCATCAGCAGGTCAGAGCCCTTTGTCCTCTTTCTCATTCCGATACACACTGTCGTCTTCTTCCTTATCTGTGCCTTCTCTCACGGCCGTTCACCTCCCTCTCTCCTCATCTCTCCATTCTCCCCTCCACCAGGCCTCTGCTTTTCTTCATGATGTTCCGCTGCTTTATTCATGTATTTTTTTTTTTTTGTCGCTTAGTTGATGTTTCTCTCTGAAACGATTTCGTTTTAACCTTTTATATTTCTGGATATTTTCAGCCAGATCTCAAGCTAGCAGATTTCTGGCTAGTCTGCGCCATTAACCCATCAGGCTGTTCAGTTGGTCTGTCGCCCGGTTAGCATTAGCGATTAGCTTCTCCCGCCATGGTGTTCCTGGTGAATTGTGACACATGGTGTTTATTAGGCTAATCATGTCTAGCCATGCCATGGTTAGAAGCCAACCCTTGTTGCTTGATCCTAATCTGCTCGCATATGGATAAGGCACCATTCCCAAGATCAGGACTCCGTTGTTGGTTCTCTGAGCTGCTCAGCTTCAGGGTAGCTCCTGGGAAGGCCCCAGAAGGCTGCTTCCTCCTCCTCTGGGGGGGGGTCACCGTGGGTCTGCCCTCTTTACGTCACCCAGATGGCTCCCCGTCCATCGTTTAGAGGAATGCGAGGGCATAAGCACCGCAGTGTGCCGCAGCAAATGAGAAACTTGGGCTAAGGCAAGCAGATTAACGATGTGGCAACATAGCCGACAAATAGGCATCAGTGCGGATCAGTCTGGGTGGCTTTTCCCAAAGCAGCTCGCTTCACGCTCCAAAGGTCGCAGTTAAGGGTCCGTTTTGGAGATCCCGCAGCCATCACTCCCGAGGCACGTCCTTGCGTTCCGTGCGTGTGCCCCGAGTCCTTTTTTTAGCTGCCCCGTGCAGGTGGCCATAATGGGGACATTGTTCTCCTCGGGAGTGGAGGAGGAGAAGGTATTTGTGTACTTTAAACATTCCCGGCTGGTATAAACAGCACGCTCGCCGATCTGCTGACGTCCAGTGATGCCAGCAGATGAGGACGGGATGCTGGCCAGCATCACCATGCATGTAATCCCCCCACCCCTAGGGGGGGTGAAGCCTTCACATGTTTGCTGGAGATGGGCCAACATGGATGATGCCGACTTCCAGAAGAAAAAAAACAGAGTCGTGGTGCAAAAACAAGACGGCATAAAAACAAAGAGCAGAGGCACCAGCGTCCTTGGCCTGGTTTCCCCGCTTCGGTGTAACAGGTGTACGTTTCCCAAATGTCAACACTTTCAACTGTCAACAAAGGGATATACTTTAAAGCTAAACCCTTTTTCCAAAATAAGAAATGTTTCATCATGTTTTTTTATGTTGATCCACGCTGGGCCGTGTGCATTGCGGTTATGAGCTCTGTGTGACCGTGACCTCCTGTGAAGGTGCAGTATCCCGCCAGGAGTAACACTCGTCTGAGCCTTTTGGGTGCCGCCTCACTGATTGGTCAAACACTCTGTCGCCAAGGTGTCGTCAAAACATGAAAATGCCTTCCTTCCGAAATGGATATTTTTATCACAAAAAAGCTAACGATTCTCCCCTCTGAAGAGAGTTCTCCAGTAGGATGTCGATTCATCAGTCCGAAAATAAACTGGCATTCATGTCTGTAACCTGCAGCTCTTAATATTTTATGCTTCTACAATTAGCCTGTTCTGTGTGATTTGTCAAGCAAAAAGTGTTTCTTCGTGACAGCTCTGCAAACAGGCCAGTTAGGTTACTTTTAATTTAGCGATACTCCCCTGAATCCGACTGCGCCTTGCCTTTTGTATTTTCTTAAGGTTGTTTATTGCAGTTGTGGGAAGCGAAGAAGCACTATGGCGGCTTAGCTTAGCATTTTAGCCTGGCTAGCTAAGCAAGCTGCTTTCGCCTCTTTGATCAGTGATATATGCAGCTGTTGTCTGTGCAACAGGATGAATGAAAAAGAACCCGGTTGAGGCTCCTGTACATTTAGCGTCGCCCTGTTCTTTATTTGCTTGTAAACCGTTTTCCCTGGAAAGTTTCTTGTTCAAAGAATTCCATGGAAATATATTAAAGTAGGCCGGAGTTTTATGGCGAGCATGATCACTAGGCGCTAATTGTTTTGCATTCCTCAGTTGTTTACAAACAATGTTGATGTGCCGCATGGTGTCGAGGCGGGATGCTGTATGGGCTACCCAAAGTGGTGTCGAGGCGGGATGCTGTATGGGCTACCCAAAGTGGTGTCGAGGCGGGATGCTGTATGGGCTACCCAAAGTGGTGCGGGGGGGTTCACCACATGATTTCCATTTAAAAAATGTCAAAAATATTCCATTGTAACTGTAACTGGTCTTTGCACGTTCCCCTAGCGCTACACCCGTCAGCAATACATGGGTCACAAGTCTCTGACAGTTATTTCTGGGATCGTGGGATGAAAAGTTTGGCACCCCGTGCTCTGGGGCTGGTATATTTGTTCTGATTCTCTGACCCCCCCACACGCACACACACACACACACACACACACACACACAGACTCTGATCTAGTGCCTGTCTATTATAGACAGTTCTATAATTTTATTTTTTTAGCATCATGTATTGTATTCACGTTATTTTTATATGGCAGCTTTGAAATAGGTCTGCCCCCACCTCTAACCCCCCCACACACAGTTCTCTGTTTTTTTTCCCCTCATCTGTGCCCCTTTGCAATTCCTTCGTGCACCTCCAGGGGGGTGCACCCCCACAGTTTGAACACCTCTGCTCTGGTGCTCTCTTTGGAGTCACATGACTGTACGGCCCTTAACCCCCCGCTCCCTGGGCGCTTCTATGGGCGGCTGCCCTTCGTGGCCAGTTTGATCTCACCTACGGAGAGGAAGCTGGGGGAGGCGTAAAGAGAATTTCCCCACAGGGACCAATCAATCAATTCCCCCCCTTTTTTCCTTTTAGCTTTGGAGGACTCATCCTGGACAAAACCCTGTCGAATCCGAACCTGGCTGGCATTGTGGTCTATACCCCCGTAATTAACGGTAAGTCCTCGATAACCTACCATCGTTTAGCCAATGGGAGGGTGAGGCTGCAGCTGTGAAATGACCCAGGATGCATTGCTTCACACAAGAGTACCAAACATACCAAAAAGGGGAAAGATTGCGAAGCGCTAATTACCGGCAATTAACGCGATACTATATTACAGGTGCTTTTCCCATTGGCATATCACTCTCATTCTGCCTTAGATACAGAAAAAAATCGCCAGATCCATATGCTATGGAGGTCTGTCCCCATTTACTTGGGCATGGTTGCCTGTGGGTCAGATGCGTCCGGCTCTCAGTGCGTAGGAGCAGAGAGATTACAGTACAATCAGTATTTTTACTGGAGCACCACTCCATTCCGCTCAGGGATAAATGTAGCATAGACTGCTGTAGACGTGGACAGGTCTCAGGCAAACGGCTCCTGCCAGAGTTAGCGCTTTGATGCCAATTAGCATAGCTTAAGAGAGGCCTGCTAATTTGCAGCAAGGCCTCCATCCCTGCCCATGGCTCCCCATTTCACCCTCCCCACCCCCCACCCCCTAAGCCTGAGTCAGAGGAAAATAAATTAGATGAGGTGGGATGTATGGTCTGGCAGGCGGTCACTCCAGACCCCCTCCTGTCACCCCTGTCTGAAACTCGGGGTCCCCTTTGACCGATTTTAGATACATGGGCCTGTAGATGAAGGGAAGGGTTCTCTGTTTCAGCACACGAAACTGTGGACTGACATTTTATGCCCGAAGCAAAATGGAAATGAGTTTTGAGTTAAGAGGACCCCGTCTGCCTCTGTGGGACGTCTGGTTTGATGTTGAACCTGAAACAGTAAAGCCCTCGTCTCTGGGGCCCACCGGCTAATCAGGCCCACAGTTAGGACACCTAAAACCCCCGAGGACCCCTGCTGTTCTCAGTCTGCCTCAGTCCCACAGTTTCACACTGCAGTAATAGCTTTAGCAAACGTTTCAATGGAACAGCTTACAGTGGCCGAAATCCTTTGTTCTTCCCTGGGCATTTTAATTATATCATGTAAGCAAAGGCTTTGAGCTTCACGCTAATGATGGTAACAAATATCACATTACACTGAGAATTGAGTACTGCCCATAGTTTAGCAGTTAGCTCTCTGGGAACCTCGCCGGTTGTCAGCACTGGGTGTATAAATCCTCTGTGTCTCCCAGCAGACCGTGTGTCTGCCTCTGAAAAACAGGACGGCACCAGGTGTTATGTTACAGTGCCCAGGTGTGCCAGTCAAACCCAGAATGTGGGTTTCTAAGTCTGCAGTGCAGCTAGCCAAACGCGCAGTGTGCATCACCGAGCCCAGGTCTTCTAGATGAATCCAGAGAGTGGATAGTGAAGGCCAGGTATCCTAGCCAAGCACAGATCAAGGCTGACTCGCTCTGCATTGTAACCCCTTCATCCCATTCATTGTGCTGCCTTAACGAGTGACGTCAGGTTATTTCCAGTCCGAGTAGAAGATTAGTCTGTTGCGTGCATGTGGCACAGAGTATACTTAGTACTTTTATTGCTACCCACTCTGCCCTTTGTCAGCAGACAGCGATTCCCTGTTTATTCCACACAGGAAGCGTGGAGAGTGAAGCCAGCGTCTGCGTGCTCCCCCCAGGGGATGCAGCCAGCGCGTGTCTCACAAATAAACTCCCACGATTCCTCTGGAAACTCAGTGGCAGGGAGTGGCCAGGTCTGAAAGCCATCAGTGTGAAGCATATTAAAAGCTAAAAACGCTGCACGTGGCTTCCAGAAGCGTGCCAGGCATCAGCACGGACGACAGGAATTATTTGAGGCCTCTGAAAGGCCTCCTTCCTGCGGCGGCCATTTTGGAAACATATTCCTCACGCTGAGCACATTTAGTTGGTAAAAAAGCATTGATTTGTTAACCCTGTGGTTTTTCTTTTTGGGGTGGGGGTCGTCACTGCAGCATGGTGCACAAGGGTATAGCAGGATCTGGCATGAATCTGGAAAATCTGGAATGGAACTCACAAACATTCTACGGTATGCACATACATGATTCAAACAGGTCCTTTGAAACACATTTTCAACTTTGGAGGCTTGCTAAGTTCCATGGTGATTGACTTTAGCGTGCAGTAGGTAAAACGGTAGGAGTATGACACAAACGAAAATGAGAAGTTGTGCGCTCTTGGATCTGTGAGAAGTGTATGTGTTGATCTGGGGTCGTCCACAAAGATAAGGTGTTCTCAGCTTCCACAGCCAAGGACACATTCCAGGATCTTTCCAGAAAACTCTCTTTACTTAGACCTAACAAGCCTGATGTTGCCTTATGGAAAAATACTAATCAGTCTTTACCGAAGGTCACAAGATGTGGGGAAAAGGTGAGTTACAAACAGTGGGGTAATGACATTGGGAAGTATGTATGATCAAAAAAGCATGATTTCCCACAATGCCGCTCATTTCATCATGTGTCAGGGGGCTTATGACAAAGCGTCCTTTCGGCTGATTTTAGCTGCTGCCTCTCCCAGGTATTGGAGGGAATCTCGTTGCCATCCAGTCCAGCCGAATCTCCACATACCTGCACTTCCACAGCACGCCTGAAGAGGTGCCAGCGGAGGCCCAGGTCTGTTACCAGCCCTGCTTGACCTTCTGCGGCACAGGTAAGGGGTGCTGCTGGCATGTGGTTACAAGCCGACTCCCTCAACTCTGCAGCCCTTCTGCTTAGATCTAAGCCCGGCCCACAGGCCAAATTAAAAGATTTTTTTTAAGGTGGGAGGGGGCATAATTCATACAAAGGGGCCTACTGTATCATCAGCCAATGATACGTTTTGAATCAGTGACTGACAGGGGAGCGGGTACACTGGGGGCCAATAAGCTTTCAACTGGGGCGAGTCTGAAGCCCGTGGCCCCGCCCCAGTATACGCCCCCTGCTGGCCGGAGCCTCGCAGCACGGAGAAACAAGGTTTCGGCTTTTTACGAGCCGCACTGTCTGGCCGGCTTCCAGCGAACATCTTTGGTTTTCGGTCGTAAAACGGGAAAATAAGACGTGCGGCAGTTTGATTCCCATTTAGAGCAGATAACGTGCTTTTACACAGCCCGCCTCATTGCCCGTAATGACATCTCGGCTCCTCTGGTAACCGCGGTTACGCCCCTGGGGGAGTTTTTAACTTCTGTCCACGGCCACCGGATGGTTCTTTAATAGGCGAGTTTGTAATCGACGCCGGGGAGGTTATTCTTGTCCATTTCGGCGGCTTTGGCAAAGCGGAACGCCACGACCGTGACACCGGAAGATGGAGGAACGCTGCCCCTTTAAGGGAAACGGCACAATTATAGGGAACTCGGCCTCTAAAGCTCTTTACACGGCTCATCTTAGCCAGTTGTGCTGCCGTGGTTTATCTGCCAGACGCTCAGTTCCTGCTCTGACCAAAACAGACCCCGTGCTCTGAACTGCAGGTTATCGTTTCTGCAGCCGACACAACTGGGCACATTGTCCGGAGCCCGGGGGGGCCGGGAGACGGCCCAGGTGGGAGGGGTTGTGGGTCATCGGGGCCCGGTTTAAGTAATTTTGTCCCAGGCCTGGGAATTATGCCCGGCAGGCCTTGGTCCTGGGATTAATTTCGAAGAAAAAGAGAAAAATATAGTATATTATATAAAGTATAGTATGTGGCGCATTTCCTGGAGCATTAGGCAAACAGACGGAAGGAGCTGCGGGGTTAGGGTTAGGGTTAGGGGCCTCACAGTCAGGAGCGAGATTTTAGGAGCGTAACAGAAACAGAAAAGTATTACTGCTGATTGATCTGAACCCCGCTGTGAACAAACTAATCAATGGAAAATTGGCAGTTTTATACGATTTTTTTCCTTAGTGCCATCTGTGTAATTATGGGTGCATACTAGGATGCCAATACGCCTTCTGTTTTGTGGGCATCAGAGGAGCTTCATCTCCAAATTCCCTGATTGGCTGTATGGGATCACATGGTAAAATCGTATGACCTTCCCTTGTTTCCCCTTAGGACCCAACCACCGCTCAGCCCAGGTGCTGCTCCTCCTCGTCATTCCAGGTCACGTGGTCTTCCTTTACGTCATCAGCCTGATGAAGAGCGGCCACACCACCCTCACACCCGTTTTCGTGGCCGTCTACCTGGCCGCCGCCCAGCTGCAGGTAGGGCGCGAACCAGGAAGTTCTACCCCGGCTTTTTGCTGGGCTGCACCCTGTCTTCCAGCTGACTGGTAGCTTGACTCCTCTAGTTTTTTTACAATTTCTTTGCCCGGTATCAAAAGGAGAGAATGAAGACAATAAGGTTGGACTTGTGAAATAGGATTTATATGTATGGCCACCAGGACTTACGAGCATCCACAGGTATCACAACACACCATTGCAGGTCTAGTTCAGGGAAACGGTCTCACTCACCGCACCCCCTAGTGTGAAAAATGGGGTACTACGTACCCCCTAGTGTACAAAATGGGGTACTACACCAATGGCGGTCCACACCTTAGCAGATCCGGGCTGGGGGGGTCGGCTGTGTGACCCGACCCCAGGCGACTCCTCCCTGTTTATCTTGCAATTAGGACCAATTAGCAGATGGGGCATCAAAGGCGTGTCTGTCCGCCAGCAGGGGAAATGCGCGGCGTGTTTGCACTGTGGTGGATTACACATCCTGAGGGCCTCCGAGTCGAACCCGAGTGCCACTGTTGGTTCAGGGTTGCTGGGAGCTAGATAGATCATCATTTCCCAGTTGGGGGGGGGGGAGGTTAGCTTGGGGGTGAATGAGATCCACAGTTCAGCACATAAATGGTCGCTTGTCCTTTTTAAAGAGGACTCTGCAGGCTGGCAAATATAGGCTGTCCTCTGAAGAGTTAAATAATCCAGACCTCTTAATAAAGCAATCATTTCAACAGTTATTAAATTATTTCTGTGTGTCCTGAGGGATTGGGACGTTCCTGCTCCCTTTGCCCCTCGGCCTGGGCCTCGACCCCCCCCCCCCCACCCCCACCTAGATGTGACTCAGTCACCCTACACGGGGCATCACATCAAAAACAAATGGAGCTGATTGGTGGCTCGCGAAAATTCAGAAATTTCACACAGGGTAAACGTTACATAGACTCTTCAGCGACTGCAGTATTGAATGAACAATACAGTACAGTCATAATAAATATGAGATATTAAATTGCATTAAATTGTAAAAACATATGACCTTCCCTTGCTTCTCCTTAGGGCATTTAAGGATGGGATCGGAGTGGGGTGGGGGGGGCGGCTTGGTACCGTCCAAGGATGCGGTGCCCCTGGACACGTGCCCACATGCCCATATGGTTAATCCGGGACAGTGAAGAGGGCTTGACCTGCACCCTGTGACACGCGGCTAATCCACGCATAACACACGGCTAATCCACGCATAACACACGCCAAATCCATGCATGAGAATGTCATTGGGCTGCATAGTGGCTTAAGACCCCTAGTCCTTCACTCTGAATGGAAATCTTAAATAAATTCTACCTTAAAAAGGTATAAATTTGACACCACTTTACAAGTTTAATAAATCCTCCCCTTTATTTTGACCCTATTTAATGATCCTGTGGATTTTCACCGTTTAGCATCGGCCCAGATGGGGGCCGTGGACTTACCTTGAGTGCTTTTAGCTCCACGTGACGTGGGTGTCGGCACGCGTTGAAGCGGGGGCCCTTTTGTTCGCCGCGCGGGTGAGGAAACAGCGAGCGTGCCTGTCTGAGACCCCCTCTCGCCGCCAAATGTTTATTTAAAGGTTCTCAGGAGGCTTTTTCGGGGAGCGCAGGGAGACATTTGGCCTGGAAGCAGAGGTTCCCCACAGCCCTCTCAGTGTTGGTGCAGACTGCGAGGGATTTACATTTCCCCCCACAGCTGAACCTACTGACCCTGGTGCAAATTCCCCCCCCCCAGCCCAACAGCCAGCAGTCAGAAGCATCAGTGTGAGTGCGAGTGTGTGTGGGGGTATGCACGGGCCCCCCAGCCCCCCCCCCCATCTCCCCTCATTGTCCCTTAAAGTATTTTCATGCCTAAAAAAATATGGGGCAGGATATTTATAGACATTTTTCTGGTGTCTGCGTGCCACCTCCCCGCACATAAACAGCCAGTGTGTGAGGACAGACTGGCCCATTGAGCGTGTCCACATATCAGAGCCATTTATGCATGTTTTTACGGAAGGTAAACACAAGAGCACTGTCCCTGTGTGTGTGTGTGTGTGTGTGTGTGAGAGTGTGAGAGAGAGAGAGAGAGAGAGCATCCACCCAGTCCTTCTGCATCACTGATGCATGGAGCATCCGAGCTGCGCTCTCTCCCAGCGTGAAAATTGAATCTTAGTCCTGTTTTCGCCTCCTCTTGTTTTTATACATAAACAAAAGCCTCTAGTTCCAAGAGATAAGTCCCACATTCAGGGGCGGAGGAAACCATGTCACTTAAGTGTATATGCCCCCACGCTACAGGTGGCTTTGGCCAGCTTAGGAATGTCCAGAGTAACAGCTAGTTTTGGTAGAGTTTTAGTAGTTTTACTAGAACTCATTTTGTTCTGGTCATGTGACATTTAGTAGAGTTTTAGTAGAGCCAGAGAGTAAGATTTTTTTTTTCTGTTCATGTGACATTCACAAAGTCCGAGCCCAGCTCACCTGTTGAACTGACACAGCCTGGTCACCAACGAGAGGCACCCGGGGGGTGTCACCCGGTTTAATGTCCCTGCCTCACTTCGCATTCACTAAGAGGGCTCTTTCAGGCCAGGTCACGGATGCCTTTCAGTGTGGCCTCAGCCCCACCACAAAACGACCAGGCCAGGCAGCTGTCCGGGCTAAAAACCATATTCCCTGCTGTGGAAATGGCTGCCGTAAATCTCCAGGCTTCCCCTTTAACTGGTAGGCGAATGGACGGCACATTAAGCGCTCCGGGCGCGGCCCTGACGTGTTTATGCGTTTCGGTGTTGATGTCAGGTGCTTAGAATAGCCACAGTCACTTTACAGCTCGCAGTCTGGCCTGAGTCCCCTTAATCACAGAATCGAAGCCAAACATTTTGACTAAGTGTTGTTCGGATAAACCCCCCCCCCCCACCCCCCCACAGAGAAAAACAGCTCTTTTCCAATGACAGCCTGAGCAGATTCAGCCACAGTAAAACCCCCCCCCACCCCTCCAGGGGGCATTTCAGAAGTTACAGCCTCTCGTGGATCTCTGGGAGATTTTTTTTACGAGCAGGATGTGGGGCCTGTTGTCTTGCAGGCTTTGAAGTGCTTGGTGATGTGCACCGGCCGGCTGCATCCGAAACCGAACACTTCCGCACCAAATATCGTGGCAAAATAATACACGAGACATGACAGAGTATCTCAAACCATAGTGCGCATCGCTTAGTGCACAAAAAGGTTCCAGATGGCACTCTACATCCGGTAAAAATCTGAAGTGTGCAAACACTGTACACTATTCAATCCCACAATCCTAGAAGCAACTTCTGAGGAAGTCAGAAGCGAACATGGAGGGCGAAGGTAAAGGTGCTTTTAAGTGTGAATACAATTCTTAATATTAGAACTCAGAAGATCATAAACTAAAGTATGATAAACCTGATGAATGTGCTGACAAACTACATAGTTTGTTCGGTACTTGTCATTATGTAGGACGTCCGTCATTAAAGGTCGGAGTCCAGCAGTTCAACGGTAACATCGTGCATCCGGAAAGTGTAAGAAGTTTTTATTTCTCTCGCACTGAGGAATTGTGTAGCGTGTACTTTTTCCTCATTTGAGTGCATAGTGCATGGTGTGTTATTTTGAATGCAGCCATTGTGAATTTTTGTTGATAATTAGATTTTTTTAGATTATCATTAGAGACTTTTTTTATTTACGGAAGATTCCTGAAGAAAGGATGAGCTCCGTTGTACACCACGGGGCTTGTGGGGGATCACATCACGCGAGTCACTCTGCTGTACTCCGTATAGGACGCCATGGACCATGTGTAATTTTCACTTTAACTCACCAGTCACGATGACCCAGGCCTTTCCGTCCACCAAAGCTATTAGTTGACTATATGACAGCAGACGGCCAGGCTGTGGACGTTGACGCATTACAATATGTGCGCCGGTGATGTGGCTGAACTTGTAGGGCGATAACGGCAGCTTAAGCGGTTCCAGGAGTATGAATCGGGAGAGGAGTGACTCAGCCCTTCCAGACCCTGCACATCATCCCATGAGACTTTCAGCCACCTGGCTTTTTGAGGTCTCCTGGGTGCTCCGTGCCAACGTAGATCTTCGGGAACCACTGTGGGACTGTGGGATTTCTCCTCGCACGGGGAGAACTAGTGCATGTGTCTGTTTGTCCTCCGTCCCGGTGGCGGCCGTGAGAATCTCCGAAAGACCAGGCACGTTGTAAAACATTCCACTGCACTGATGTAGTGCCGTGTGAGAGGTCACAGAGTTCAGGCTGAGTTCACTGTGCAGGACTCTGGGAACGGGCATGGATGAGCAAACTTGCATCATTCCTCTCCCTGTCACCATCTGCTAATCGTATTTACCATGACCGCATGTGACCATTTGTCTCCGAATGAGCACCCCCACTCCAGCATAGGCCTGATACCGCCAACCCCCCCAACACACAGAGAGCATCGTGGTCCTCGGGGGTATGTGAACATTTCCTCAGAGCCCCTCAGCCGAGGATTCCAGCTGAGAGGTCCGTCGGGGGGTTTGTGAATCACAGGTGTGAAGTCAGCACGTCTGCAATGCCCTTGAGAGCTACTTTTTGGACCTGGTCTCGCTAGAATCCATAATGAGCCTCCTACATTACCTCTGTAGCATATCCAGCTTAAGGTCTGTCTGAGGTTACGCGTCAAGCAGATGAAGACAAGCTCTAAGAGGGACGTCATCTGACAGTATCTGTGCTGTGTATGCACCAGCGCTCATTTGCATACAGTTTTCAGGCTAGTGGGCTTTTATCTTCAGGCTTATGTGGTGAGCTTCTCCCTGCCCCCAGTGTGATGAGACCGTCCTATCGTGTACCTCGCTTGACGGCTCGTGTCTCCGCCCCCCTTCCAGGTCATCACCTTGCTCTGCGTTGCTGATTGGTTGGTGCACTGCATGTGGCGCAAGGGCAAGGACCCGGACAGCTTCTCCATCCCGTACCTGACGTCCCTGGGGGACCTGCTGGGCACCGGCCTCCTGGCCCTTGCCTTCCACTTCCTGTGGGCCATCGGGGACCGGGACGGTGACGTCGGAGACTGAGGCAGCAGGGATTATCCCTGAGAGCCTCGAAGACGCGGCGGTAATTCCAAGCACGTCCCACACTGTCGTACGTGGCCGTGCCTGGTGACCGGAAGGGCATTTCTTCTGTTCTGCATTGTACCGGAGGGAAGAAACTCCTCAATAATTCATCCCATCAATGAGAAGCCATCACAGCCAGAAAAAAATGTCAGAGGTACCTTTGGCTCAGGATTTAAAGCGGATAAAGGGAGGAACACTACTTTGCAGCCTTTAGATCTGCATTTGTCGAAATTGGGCATTGTATTTTGAAAGTCACGGAGCCAGTGGAGTACTTTGGTCGTGGGGTTTCTTGTGATCCAAGAACAAACACTAATGTCTGTGATCTCCACCACTGGAGTCTTGATCCAATTTTGACTTAGACATTAGCCTTAGATTGTTAGCCACCACTGCCTGACCCAGTGAGACCCCGCCCACCGCTGTGGATTTTCAAGGTTAAAGGTGCCCCGTCACTCATATGAGGCTCCGCCCACAGTTGTGGATGTTCAGATGGTGGGTTATGGGGTTTCCTGGTCAAACAAACAGTATTTTTGTATGCAAATGTTATAATTTAACAACAAACAGATAATTTAAGCCAAATGCAATTGTTTGCTTGATAGTGATGCATTTGTTTTCTGCAGAACCCTAACTAAAATATACAATACACAGGTATGACGGTCAATTTGGTCTTACTGTATAAGCAAAACCTGACCTCAAATTCAAACATTTCTGTTTCCAAGTGGTTGACCAAAAGGGGGATTAAATTATACTGGTGAATCTGAGATGCGGCATCAGTTTGTCCCCTTCCTTTGTTGCCAAAGGCCCCCCAGGTATCCATCCCATGAAATAAAGCTTTATTTGCAGAAAGACATTGGCATTCTTCTTTTCACATATTCCATCTTGCTCTCCTTTGAGACAGACACACTGATACAGAGTGAACCTTTTTATCTAGCACCCCTCAGGACGTTAAGGGTCTTGTTCAAGGGCCAAACAGACCTGTGACTATTCTGCTGAGGAGGGGATTCAAACTGGCAACCTTCTGGTCATACCCCACTGGGCCACACACCGATTGGTGGAATTGTGACCATGTGATTTTGACATCAGTGAACTGGACTGCCCAGTTTATCTACATCTCTCTCTCAGTCCCTGCCTGTCCCTGGTCACTAGCCCCTACCCCATTTGTCCCTCTCTCTTCTCTTTCTGTCTCTGTCCTGCCATTGCTAACTGCCTTTTCTAATCTAATCTCTCTCTCTCTCTCTTCTAGCACTTCCTGTCTTCTGACATCTGTCTTTCTCCTTCTGGCCTGCTCTTTGTCTCCCTATTTCTTCTTTCTGTCGTTCAGCATCTGTCTCTCTGTCTCTGCCCCTCCTACTCGGTCGTCCCCAGACTTTGGGCGGCGCCCAGGCTCTCGGGTCCGGCAGGGATTAGCGGAGTGAGTTTGGACACAGTGGGAGTCCTGGACTGGGACTCAGACAGAAGGTTGTGTTTATTTATAGGGGTGGTGTCTCCGCCGTCTCGTTTTTACGGCGGGGGCTGTCTCAGAACTGTCTGGTGGGGCTTGGCTGCTGGACGGCGCGCACCTGCTGGACACTGACCCAGAATCTCCGCCCCCCCAGGACCTCCCTGGGGTGCAGCCCGTCCCCACTAAGTGGCCGCATCCATAAATCTCTCCAGCGCTGCCTGACAGGCACCTTTACCTTCCTGAACGTCCCTGAGTCCCTCCTGCTGTTGCTATGTGCCCTGTCCCCCCCCCCAAACCCGCCACACCTGCTCAGAAAGGAATATTTCTCTCCTCCACCTGGGTCTGCCAGACGAGGAGTGCAGTGTGATCAATCTCCGTCAGTTTCATGCTTCTGTTCCTCCCTCCTTCCCTCTCTCTGCTTGCTCACCCTTTCCCCTCTCTCTCCCTCGCCCTTTTCCCTTGTTTGCTCATCCCTCTCGGTCTCTATGGCTGCCTGTCTGCCACATCTGTCTGCTCTCTACACCTTCCCTCCACCTGCCGTTTCTCAGAGCCGTCTCCCCATCTGCTTCCCCCTCAGCATACCTTCGTGGCCTAAAATTCCACTGTCTCCTTTTGATTATCATTTTAATAGGGGTCGTACCAGACAAAGAACGACCAGATGAGTTGGCAGAGCTCTTTATGACAGTCTCTGCACGGGCATTGTGGTGTTTCGGGAAAAGAACAATGGATCCCACTCCGGTCCGACAAGATGAGGTTTGGTCCACCTGAGCTCTCAGGAGAATCATGGATCCTGGGGAGGGTCTTAAATAATCTGCTGCTGGCAGCGGTTGTTATGCAGAGTGAGAACAATCTCTCCTCCCCGACATCATCTTTTCTGTGCTGGGTCAGTGCTGGTCCATCTCCAGTCATACTAAAGAGTATGCAGAACCTTATGGATGAACCGTATCATGCGTCTTATGCCTTGTCGAGGTTCTTCCAGCAACGAAAGTGCTCTGTTTTAGCATGAGCCTCGTAGTTCGCCGTTTCGCCTGTGGTTTTCCGACACGGCTGCATCTCCCAGTAACTCTGCATGCTCGCTTCCCGTCACAGCAAAGGCTGGACACCAGACACACATTTTGTGCATATGTGCCCGATTAATGCATGATTTTACAGTTGAATGTGAAATAATCTCTCAGCTAACACTTCTTAGCCTTTGCTCACCTCTTTACCTGCACGCAGAATTAACCGGAAATAATGCCCTTAAATATTGACAGACACAGAAATGTACACACCATAGAATTCACTCATTGCTCTACAGAAGCCGGTGCTATCCTGTATGTTTCCTACAATTTTTTTTAAAAGAGGCATCGAACCCTCATAAGGAAGGACTAGCGATTGAGCAGTTGTTTCACTGTTGAATAAAAGCTTAAGGAGAAATTTAAATCCCCTGTGTTTATAGTCTTCTTGTTTCTTAAGATTCGGTGTGCCGTGACAAAAATAACAAACACTTCAATAAATCCAGTCTGTTGTCGTAACGGGGAGCAGTACTGCAAACACGACAGAGGTGGAGATTTCCGGTCCAGAGAGTACAAATCCAGACCAAGATTTTGTTTCAACCAACCAGTTGAGTATAAAGAGTCGCAGTCACAGAGTACTCAACTGGTTGGTTGAAACACGGTAGGGGCACGGATATGGACGGTAGGGACACGGATATGGACGGTAGGGGCACGGATATGGACGGTAGGGGCACGGATATGGACGGTAGGGGCACGGATATGGACGGTAGGGACACGGATATGGACAGACATGATATACCAATACTGTGGGAGTTCTGAGGCGGGAGGGTCTGGGCTGATTTGGCCCCAACCTACAACCTTGGGCACTGGTACTGAAAGATTTGACACCAAACGAAGCTGTAACATTAAATATTCAATATGTTTTTTATTTATTTGAAATTAACACCGTTATCAAAAGATAAAATTAAATAAAAGATGTGGTGTTGGGGGGGGGGGGGGACAGTGGTTCATTTGCGAATGTCCCCCATGCTGGCGACCGTGTGAGTAAAGCTTCTTCTCTGCTCGTTCCTCTCGCAGCGAGTCCCGCGGTCACTCTGGCACCCGTCCAGCACCGTCTCTGCTCCCCAGTCCTCGTTTATTGTTTTGCAAATGAGTCTTCACCCCCTGCCTGCTCCTCACGGCCTGCATGCCACAGATAAATTTTATGCATTCCTATTAAAAAGAGCTAAATAAACAGGCGCTTCAGTAAGCACAGGACGCTCCCATTTTCAGCCCCCCCCTCCAGGTGACGGGCCGTCCCTGTGTTGGCGGGACGCTCATCCATCGCTCCGGAAATTATTTTGCCGCTGTGAAATTAAGCTGCTGGTGGTCAGCTGGTCATTTCATACACGTCCATTTCCTGCGCTTTGAATCCCTAAATACAATTTAAGGGTCCATCCATCTCCCATAATAGCTCATCCATTACAGGGACAGGGGGAGCAGACAGGCTATCCCATCATGCACTGGGCCGGTCCAGCAGGAGGGACAGGGGTACAGGAAGGGCAGCTGCGCATGCTGCTTCCCGTACATCATATCTACATCATAGCCAAATAAAAATGCAGAAATGATCAGAACTGCTCTCCAAAGTGCATATCTGAAGTATTTACTAGTATGTGCTTTAGAGATTGCCACCTCTATGGGTCTGTAAATATCTAGCCTCTGAAATAAAGAAAAGATTAAATTGCCATTTTATCACCAGCACTGATAGGTTTTAGCAGTTGTTTCAGCAAATAGATTCATCCCTGTGGTCAATCCATCCATCCATCCATCCATCTAATTCTTGATTTCTTAATTCCACTCCATTCTCTCAGATATCTTCTGCTGGGCTTCTTGGCCTGACCTCTGTCGCTCCAGTCCTCCTGCAGACCTCTGCCACACTCGTGGCCCCAGATACCCGCCGTGTGTGCCGCCCGCACCCCCATGCCCAGATCTGGGAGCAAACTGAGAAAAATGCCTGTCACCCACAGCCTAGATTCTTCCTGCGACGAGGAGGGTGGGGCTGACTGGAAGCCAGGCAGCATAGCTCAGTCCGGGGCCAGTCTGAGGGAGAAATGAGAGATCATGTGACTCGGGGGGGGGGGGGGGGATGTGGCGTATCTCGGGACCCGAGGCCGGCTGGGGTCAACGGGCTCCTTTGGTTAGATCTGTACGCCGTTGGGTGACAAAGCGCTTTTGTTGCTGTGGCATGTGTAACACCCCCCCCCCCGACCAAACAGGGCAGGCTCTGAGGGGGAGGGGGGAAAAAAAGAACCCCACCGAAATCGATCGCCGGGCCCTGCATGACGGATGACATGGCCGCCTCCATTTCTTTTCGGCCACATGGGCTGTGATATTTCTTCATTTAGACTCGGATCAATGGGGCCGTGTTGACAGAATGTGCCGGAGAGAATCCTGGAGGACATCTGGCAGGCAGGACTGTTAAGAAAAGTTCAAATGACTAATCTTCGCGTTGTCTGGCCCTAAAGGAAAGACATGCAGCCCTAACTGCTGCAGCTACAGCCGAAACGCAGTGAAAGTGAAAAAAAATTGAGGCGTGTGAATTTTTAGGATGGAATTCTGCTATGCGATATGTCGGGGGGGGGGGGGGGGGGGGGGGGGGGTGTGGACGTGCCTTATCACTGATCACATTAAGCTGGCATCTCCTTATCTCTTGACTAATGACCTCGATGCCCAAACCTGCACCCTTCTGCCCCCCTCCCCCCAAGGCCCGATGTCAACCTGCATGTTTCACTTGTGCTGAAGCCAAAATGGCTGTACTTTGTTTTCATTCCTTCACACAGTTTTGTTAAACAATAGCCAAAGAAAGCCCCGCCTCCAGCCTGTCATTACCATGTCCCACGACTTTGTTTTCTGTTCTTTCCCAAGCAATCCTAGCCAGAGAAATGTTTTTCTTTGCCACGTTCACCTTTTTTCCCCCCCCACCTCTGTTCCACATGATTAAAGGAACGACCAACCAACCCAATGCAGCTTCACACGCGATTGCACCATTATATGTAACAATTGAGGTTCAGACTCTAACCAGAAACCTCCAATCACGGTCAAGCATTTCCTACTGTGCTAAACTTAGCAGCGATGCCAGATATGTTGAAGCAGCCTCTCAGCACCAATTTCCTGGAGGAGAAACCTTTTGGAAACCTGAGTGACAGAGTTTTTATCTTCAGTCTCCCTCAGCTCTTCAGACCATTCCGAAAAGATTAGAGCGTAGCGTCTTGTATTTCAGCACCAGAAACAGCGAGACAGTCATTTCATTGCCAAGTTCAAGGCTAGAAGTGGTTTAAAGAAGGATCTGGAATTCTGACATTTTCATAGTACATCTGTCTCCATCATAGAGAACAATCGCTTTTTTTGGGACATAAAGGATC